CCAATGCCCGGGTCGGGCGGGAAACACCGGTAACAGTCATCCTCATCACTACCAATCGCAGCATACATAGCAGAGAGAATATCATCAAAATCAAGATCATAAATAGCTACGCCAGCCCTAGACAGCTCTCCCCAGCGGGGGATCTCAGCTGCCTCCGGAAACTGCTGACGCCAGGCGTCAGTCAGGCGGCCAAAGCAGCGGCGGGCTGTGTGGGCGCCTCCACACCTCTCCCCTGCACGGTCACCGGTGCGAAGAACGTAGGGGCAAGGACCAAGCGCACCACCACGCTGACGCTCCGAGTACCGCTCACGGAGCTGCTGAGGGGCGGGGACGGTGCGAGAGCGCTGCTGCTGCTGTGGCTGCTGCTGCGGCTGCTGCTGCTGCTGCTGCTGGCGCTGACCACCCCCAGAGCTACTCCGCTGGGACGAGCCACTCCGACCCCCGCCTCCACCGCCACCCCCGCCTCCACCGCCACCCCCGTCTCCACCTCCACCTCCCCCACCAGGACCGTCGCTCCCACCGCTCCCACCGCCTCCTCCGCTACCACCTCCGCCGCCACCTCCGCCTCCACCGCCGCCACCAGTACCTCCACTCCCGCCACCACCCCCACCGCCACCCCCACTCCCCCCGCCACCCCCACCGCCTCCTCCACCGCCCCCTCTAGCTCCACCCGCTCCCTTGCCCCCCTTGCCCTTGCCAGAGCGGCGTCTGCCGCTGGGGGCAGACGCCGCGCCGACCGACTCAAAACCAGTGAGGTCGGCCGCAGCGGCAGAGGCGACAGAGGGCAGCAGGGGGGAAGGACCACACCCCTCAAAGATGGGGGTGCGAGGGTCACCTCGAGAGGCCCCTACAGCGACAATACTCTTCTCAGCCGCTAGCAGGGACTCCTCAAGGAGGTCGACAGTGAAATTGGTGGGACAGACAGAGAGAAACTGGTCCCTAACGACACGAAGGGACTCAGGGAGACGGGTGACGAGAAAGTAGAGAGTGATGTACATGGGAGGAGGGTTCGCAGCGCGGAACTCAGCAGGAAGGGCAGCGCGGTAGCGGGTGTCACTAGCACGGAGGTGGGTAACGAGGTCAGCGATAGTGGGAAAGGAAGCGAGGTCAGGGAAGAGAAACGGTAGCATGAGGCGGCTAAGGGTAGCGGAGGAAGGGGAGGAGTAGCGTGCAACTACAGCGTCGTACAAGGCCTGAGCGGTCTTGCACTGACTAAAGTGGGCACGCTCAGAGGAAGGGAGGTGGCGACGCACAGCAAGACGTGCAGCAGCATCGCGGGTCGCCCACTTGGAGCGAACGGCAGAGTCAGCATCAGCAGGTGGGGCAGGGACAGCGCCAGAGACAAAGTCAAAGAGAGAGACCTCATCTATCGCATCACACAGTAAGTACAGCTGCAGGTCTTCAATCCAGACGGCAAAGTCAATGGCCCTCCCCTCAGCGTCAAAAGTAAGAACATTGGGGGTGGCCATGGCAGCAGCTGAAAGTCTCACCGGGCTGGGAGAGTCGGGTAGGTCAGCAGCAGAGGAACACAGCTCAGGAACAGCAGCACGGCTCCTCAGGCGACTCAGGCGGCTCGGGCGGCTCGGGCGGCTCGGGCGGCTCGGGCGGCTCGGGCGGCTCGAGCGGCTCGGGCGGCACGGGCGGCTCGGGCTGCTCGGGCGGCGGCTCGGCCGCAGCTCAGCGGCGGCTCGGGCGGCGGCTCAGGTGGCCCGGGCGGCGGCTCAGGCGGCGGCGCCTCGGCGGCGGCTCGGCGGCGGCTCGGCTGTTGCTGGGCGGCTCGGCGGGGCCGCGTAGCAGAGGGCGGCGGGGCCGCGTAGCAGAGGGCGGCGGGGCCGCGACCGAAGAGGGCGGCGGGGCCGCGTAGCAGAGGGCGGCGGGGCCGCGTAGCAGAGGGCGGCGGGGCCGCGTAGCAGAGGGCGGCGGGGCCGCGTAGCAGAGGGCGGCGGGGCCGCGATCGAAGGGCGGCGGGGCCGCGTAGCAGAGGGCGGCGGGGCCGCGTAGCAGAGGGCGGCGAGGCCGCGTAGTAGAGGGCGGCGGGGCCGCGTAGCAGAGGGCGGCGGGGCCGCGTAGTAGAGGACGGCGGGGCCGCAATCGAAGGGCGGCGGGGCCGCGTATCAGAGGGCGGCGGGGCCGCGTGGCAGAGGGCGGCGGGGCCGCGTAGCCGAGGGCGGCGGGGCCGCGATCGAAGGGCGGCGGTGGGGCCGCGTAGCAGAGGGCGGCGGGGCCGCGATCGAAGAGCGGCGGGGCCGCTAGGGAAGGGCGGCGGAGCCGCTAGGGGAAGGGCGGCGCAACGGGCCGCTAGGGGCGACACGACGGGTCGCTAAAAAAAAAAACGCGCCTCGGGGCGCGGTTCGGTGGGCCCTAGAAGCAGTCCCTAGGAGGGAACCTGCTCTGATTCCATGTGGAAACGAAGAACGAGAATGGATGACTATGAAGTGAAGTGAATACAAATAGGAAACCCTAATATGTTGTACCCCCTATGGGATACCCCACTATAGCCTACACAAACAAGTAAGCTATATGTTCTGACAGCATGCACCTCACACTCCGTTTCATGTTAGCTGGGAGCTAATAAGCTTGCATGGAGCTACACCTGGTCAGCTTACCAATATCACTGCTCGTATCGGCCAACATGAATCTCCTTACCTCTTTCGGAATTCACGTGGGCTCCACAGCTTCCGTGTCGCGTGAGTCGCGGCCTGGACCACGCACCACAAGGCGCTCTTTCCAAAAACTAGGGTTTGCCTACAATGGAAATTCGGGGATTTTTGCAGACAGCCGATTTTCGTGTATTCTTAAAATACCAACGCACCATCCTCTCGTTCCTTAGCGGCGTTTCTTACAAAAACTTTTGTGCCCTTTCACGAAGTATTCTGAAACAATAATATTTGGCACCGTTTCAAACAGTTGAGGAGAAGCCTCATGGGGAGTTTCTTACAAACGTGCGTTAAAGCGGGCGCTCTAGGTGTAGCAGTGCCAGATGGTTCTAGTGGAAGCATGGCATCCGTCTGGCTCTTCATGCTACTGCTGTGCATATCGTGTTTCAACACTCGCGGTGCTCGTGATGCTCCTTCTGCCGCAACTGCTGGCGCTACTTCATCTGCTGCATATCCGAGCTATGGCGGAGTCGGGATGTGCGTTCACTGTGGTGGCATGTCCTGGTGGGCCTCACTTATCATCGCCATAGTGTGCCTCGCTTTTATTGTTGCGCTCTTCTGCCTTCTGTATCAAGTCATCCGTGTGGGTCTAAGGCGTTGGCGGCAACGCAAGCAGATTCAGCATCATCAGCATCAGGAGGAGAAGCTGCACCAGCACCAGCAGCAGCAGCAACAGCAGCAGCGGCAGCAGCAGCAGCAGCAGCAGCAGCAGCAGCAGCAGCAGCAGCATGAGTGGCCAGTATTGCAGGATGATACTTTACCAATGTCAATTCCACCAATGACAAGGGAAACAGCGATGTCATCTTCACAGGGTGGTGGTCCTCCAGTTTATCCATCAGAGCTGTACGATTTTCAGACCATCCCTCCAATGCCAAGTTACCCTAAATGACTATTGATGTGCTTCTTTGAGCTGCAATTAACATACCAAGTGCAATAGAAGATTGTACAGAAATGCACATGATATAGTGCCATCCTCGCAGCATTTCAGTGCTCTAGCACCTATAGCCAGTGTCTTGATTGCACCCTCTAGACAATCCAATCCGGCTGCAAACATTCCCTATGAAACCATAGGAAGTTCAACTAGAAGCCCCAATTAATGCTAAACGTAATGACTCAAAGAATGGAGGAGCTGAACCTAATCTCATCGTTTTGTCAGTTGTTGACGATCTCGATATTCATAACACCTGCACAGGCTGCAAGGAAACATTACTGTACAGCATGGCGGAACATCCGCAGCAACCTGCACAGCGCACAGGCAGCCGAAACCTGACGTGTCTCTGCAACCAATCAACACGCGACCTCCAGCGTCGCTCGCGGAATTCTCACAACCAGCCGTGTTTCCGTACCACCGCAACGATAGTTGGGCTGTTGTGAGAATTGAGAATTTTGGCTGAATGCCTCACGAATACAGCGAAAAACTCTGCTGAAACCCTGGTGATTGTCTATATTTTGGGGTGCAAGGAACGATTACATACATATTTTGATCTGAGAATTCGCATCTGCCGCTTCTTGCGCCCCACCCCTGGCGGCTTTGCGAGCCGAGGCGCAGGCAACATTCGAAATCCTCAGGCTCCACCTGGGCACGGATAAATTTCTCCCAGTCGCGCGCACTGCCACGCGATGAGGCTTCTGGGCGCGTGCCATGGAGCGGTACACCGGGTTTCCGCGAGCTACAACATGTCATCCTCTATTCCCGCCTTTCGGCTGGAGAGGGTACAAGACATTAGGGTAGGGGCGAAAATAGTTTCAGGCTGATCCGGCAAGAGCTTCCTGGCAGTCGTCGTAGCTCGCAAGCCGCGAGGGAGTCGTCCACATCGCGAAAGTCTGATGTAGCTGAGCGGCTGTGGCTTGCGCAAGTCCGGGCCCTTGCGGAGGCCTCTCCCTCCCCTCGCCCCCCGCTCGTCTTGGCAAGCGCGCGAGAAGCCTTTGATCGAATGGTTGTGTTCACGACGGGGTCATAGGCGTTTGAACACGACAGACGTAGTACAAAGTCAGCCCATCCATTGGCTCAGAAGTTATTTAGGCGCCTCAGAAATTTCCTCGCCTATCAGATTCTTGAGTCGACTTAAAAGACACCTCCGAAGGCTACCGAGTCGACCGTCGACTGTCACGTCCGACGTGAGTCATCGAGTTCAAGTCTTCAAATCGCATTTCAAGTCTTCAAGTCCAATCAAAGCCTCCATGCGCACAGCCACCATGCGCATCCACGGCGGTTGCTGTTGCGCCGGGCTCGCGGCGGCGGCGCACCGCTGCGGTTCGCGATCGAATTCGACATTGCCACGCGCCGCCAGCGCGCGCCGCGCCGGAAGGGAACTTCTCCCTTCCGAGCCGCGTCGCCGGCCAATGCCAACTAACAGTGACCGTTTTGCGACCAGGCATGCCTCCTTGACGGCGATCTCCGTGCTTCTCGCTGCGCTGCTGGCGGCGAACGGCAGTGTCACCCCTGTCGCAGGTCAGTCATGCATCCTTCCACCTACTACCTTCCTTGCCTTCCGGTGTCTACCTCTCGCCCTCACAACTGGCGCCACTCCCGCACCGCTACCAGAATCAGTACCGTATCTGTGACAGAATCATTCCCCCTCCGTTACTCTCTCCCTCTTCCCATCCTCTCCCCTCCCCCTTTCCTCTCGTCTCTCCCCCGTCTGGCCCCGCCGGTACCAGCCCAAAGCTATAATTGCAGCGCAAATCCCGCGGTGGCCTCGGTGACTCCCGAGTACGCGAACCGCTTCTTCCGGGTGATCAGCACCATCTCGAACCTCTACCCCATTCAGAACTGGGCCGCGGACACCCGCCTCCAGCCGGTTCTCACGCCGCTGCGCACCGAAGGCAGATGCAGTGAGTGCGCCGCCGATCTTTGAGACATGTTCCTGCGCGCAGGTTGTTGAAAGGCGAACCAGCTCTTCCGGCTGATTAGCAACCTTTAGGCACGTAGTACGTACGAGGGCCAAACATTTCTGGGTGGCACCATCTCGAACATCTTTTCTTATCAAAACTGGGCCTAGAACACCCGCCTCCAGCCCATTCTCGCGCCGCTGCGCACCGAAGGCTGATGCAGTGAGTGTGGCACCGCGGCGGCGGCGGCCGCAGGCTGGTTTTCCGAGAGTTTCTTGGGAGGGAAAGGCCCCCACGTGAAGTTAGCGCGAGATGGATTAGACGCGGACACACCTGCTCGCGCAGTCACGCGCGAAAAAAAAAAAACGCGCAGCGAGCACACGCCGCAGAACAACGCCACGATCACACAGGCTGGCGCGCATGTGCTGGCTGAAGAGACCCGGGGGAAGGGAGAGGGGGAGGGAGAGGGGGAGGGAGAGGGGGAGGGAGAGGGGGAGGGAGAGGGGGATGATTCTTTGAAGTGAGGGGATCAGAGCAATGCTTATTTTCGGTGCTAATCTGAAGAGTATATGTAATTTCTTGTCCCTCAACTCACCCCCCTCCCCTCGCCTTCCCCCTTTCACCCCCCAGAGGCATCATGGGCCATCACGGCAGTGAGCGCGGTGGAAATGGCGTACGCGTTAGTGGCTGACTCGGTGCCCTCCATGGCGCCCCCTCAGCGCCTATCACTACAGCAGGTGCGGAAGCTACTATCAAGCACGGGTTCTTAACCCGAGCAGTAACTGTTACTACTGAGTTAGTATTATACTACTGCTGATACCATCACGATATACGATGTACGCGTAGCTTGTACCTAAAGGCTGCTGCAGCGTCAGGTTCAGCAGGCGCGCTCAGCGCAATTCAAAACAGGCTGTTCTGTACTTTCCCCTGCTCTCCAACCCCCCGAGTAAACAGAAGTGTTTTGAGACTGTCTCAAAACACTTCTGTTTACACGTGGCGCGCTCAGCGCAATTCAGAGCAGGCTGTTCTGTTCCGTACTTTCCCGTGCTCTCCAACCCCTCGACCCCTCACGTGCTGGACTGGACTGCAGGAACAGCAGTACCAGCAGCAACTGCATTGACGGCGGGTGGCCTCCGAATCACTTTTGAGAATTCTCAAGACTTTACTGGCTGCGGGTGGCCGGCGGCGGCGCGGGACTACATGGTGTGCCACGCGGCAGGCGAGGAGGGGGGCATCTCACAGCGTCAATTGCACCGTCAAAATCTCGGAGTGTTCCGTCCAGCGTAAAAAACGGAACCGTCAAAATTGCTTGCTCCGTCAAATCCAACTAAGTAACTCTCCTCCCCCCACCCGCAAACCCCACAGGTGCTGGACTGCAGCTACAGCACGAGCAGCAACTGCATCGACGGTGGGTGGCTGACGGCAGCAGCGCTGGACTACATGGTGGACGCCACACGCCAGTGGGGGCTGTTCCCAATTTGGCTGTTCTCAATGGGGCTGTTCCCAATGGGGCTGTTCCCAATGTGGAGGGCGTCTCATCGCCACAGCACCGATTCAACTCTCCTCCCCCACCCCGCAAACCCCTCAGGTGATTGACTGCAACAACAGCAGCAGCAACTGCGTTGACGGCGGGTGGCCGACGGCAGCGCTGGACTACATGGTGGACGCCACACGCCAGTGGGGGGGCCTCGCCGCCGAGACACCCTTTTTCCCGTACCTGCAGAGGCAGAGCAGATGCGTCCGGCGCAAGGTACGCCTGGGGGTGGTCTGCCAGGGGGAGGTGGTATTTGAGAAATCTCAATACCGCGGCAGTGGGGAGGGCTTTTCGCCGAGTTAGCCTTTTGAATCGTCTCAGAACTCAACTTTTATCACGTCGCCACGCGGCAGTGGGGCAGCCTCACCGCCGAGGCAGTGGGTCGCCTGGGGGAGGAAACTTTTAACACTAATATTTCACAGGCGTTACATGGGTGGTTTTTGAGTCGACTCAAAAGGCAGCGGAATGCCTGGGGGAGGCAACTTCTAACACCAGTATTTCACAGGCGTTACATGGGCGGTTTGCCTGGAAGAGGTACTACGCCTGGGGGAGGTACGCCTGGGGGAGGGTGCATCTGGGAACGGTGCCTTGCCCATGTATATTCTTATGACCTAGTGTCCTGCTCTTGTGCCCTGACCTTGCACCCCTGCCCCTGTGCTCACGTGCCCATGTGCGCCCATGCGCCCATGCGCCCATGCGCCCATGCGCCCATGCGCCCCTGCGCCCATGCCCAAGCGCCCATACTCATGCGCCCACGCCCATGTGCTCTGTCTGTGCGCCCATGCGCCCATGCCCCTGTCACCACGCCCATGCGCCCTCTCTGTGCGCCCCCTGCGCCCATAACCCTGCGCCCATACCCCTGCGCCCATACCTCTGCGCCCATACCCCTGCCCCCATACCCCTGCGCCGTGTCTGTGCGCCCAGGCGACGACCATAGGCATCACGGGGTACGACCAGGTGGACTTCTACGGCTGGTTTGGCCTTCTCCTTGCTGTCAATGTAAGCCTTGCTGTCAACGCAAGTCTTGCTGTCAACGTAAGGCTAAACGCCGACTAGGTATCACGTTAAGTCATGGCAAGTACTGGTGGGCATCACGGGGTACGACCAGGTGGACTTCTACGGCTGGTTTGGCCTTCTCCTTGCTGTCAATGTAAGCCTTGCTGTCAACGTAAGCCTTGCTGTCAACGTAAGGCTAAACGCCGACTAGGTACCACGTTAAGTCATGGCAAGTACTGGTGGGCATCACGGGGTATGACCAGGTGGACTTCTACGGCTGGCTCGCCCTGCTGCTCGCTGTCAACGTCAGGCTCGCTGTCAACGTCAGGCTCGCTGTCAACGTCAAGCTCGGTGTCAAAGTAAGGCTCGGTGTCAACGTCAGGCTCGGTGTCAACGTCAGGCTCGGTGTCAACGTCAGGCTCGGTGTCAACGAAAGGCTCAGTGTCAATGTCAGGCTCGGTGTCAACGTCAGGCTCGGTGTCAACGTCAGGCTTGGTGTCAACGTAAGGCTCGGTGTCAACGTCAGGCTCGGTGTCAACGTCAGGCTCGGTGTCAACGTAAGGCTTGGTGTCAACGTCAGGCTCGGTGTCAACGTCAGGCTTGGTGTCAACGTCAGGCTCGGTGTCAACGTAAGGCTCGGTGTCAACGTAAGGCTCGGTGTCAACGTCAGGCTCGGTGTCAACGTCAGGCTCGGTGTCAATGTAAGGCTCGGTGTCAACGTCAGGCTCGGTGTCAACGTCAGGCTCGGTGTCAACGTCAGGCTCGGTATGCTTCCGTGCTGATGATGAATAGTACTTCTGTGACATTGCAGGTAAGAGGGCAGGTTTCTGAGGCGCCTAAATTATCATCCTTAGTCTCGGTGCTGGTGTGCTCCCGTGCTGGTGTGCTCCCGTGCCGATTATAGATAATACTTCTGTGACAGTTCAGGTAAGAGGGCAGGTAACAGGGCAGGAAATTTGCACAAACAGTCTGGCTGTAGCTTCTTCACCCCTTACCTTCCTCCTTCCCCTCCGCCCGCACTTGCCAATCCGCCCATTCCTCATCTCTCATTCTCCTCTCCTCCCCTTATCATCTCTTTCCCTTATCCTCTTCTCCCCTTATCCTCTCCTACCCCTCTCCTCCCCTTCCTCTCCTCCCCTTTTTCTCTCCTCCCCTTATCCTCTCCTCCTCTACTCCCCTTCTTCTCTCCTTCCCTCTCCTCTCCTCCCCTTCCCTCGCCCCCTTCCCCTCTCCTACGCTCCACCTCTCCTTCCCTTTCCTACTCACTCCCCTCCCCCCTTTGCCTATCTGCTCCAGACTCAGCCCACCATTGCCTTCGTGCTAGGCTCCTACCCCTCCTAATCCACCTTCCCTTCTCATCCCCTCCGCCTCTCCTTCCTTCCCTACCCACTACGCTGCCCCAACGCCTCTCTGCTGCAGACGCAACCCACCATTGCATTCGTGCGAGGCTCCTACCCCTCCTTCCAGACGTACACGCAGGTACGAGAAGCACTGTATGGTGTGTGTTTTGAGCCGACCCAGAAGCAGTCACCCCTCCTTCCAGACGCACTCTCAGAGGTACTGCACTGTTTTGAGTCCCTTTTGGGTTGACGCCACCGAGGCTCGTTGCAGGTTGTTTTGCTTCTCACAGGTAGCAGGGACTTTGCTTCCGCTCATGTGATGGGCAGTCATGGCATGTAGAAGCAATAGCACGCATGGCATGCAGCCTTGGCATGCAGTCATGGCATGTAGAAGCAAACGCATGGCATGCAGCCTTGGCATGCAGTCAACTGTGCTCATCCTTTCCCTTCTCCCCTCCTTTCCCTCATTCCTCTCTCCCTTCCACCTCTCCCCGTCCACATGCTTCCCCACTTCACAGGGCATATACAGCGACCCAGGGTGTGCAGGGGCAGGAGTGGTGGATCACAGCGTGCTGGTGATGGGGTGGCGCGAGAGGTACTTTTGGGTCGACTATAAAATGGTGCAAGAGGTACCATGCATTGCACCGTCCTCACCTTTCCCCTTTCCAACTCTCCCTGCTCTTCTCTCTCTCTCCCTCCACTTTGCTCCCTCGCTCCCACACCAGGGCATATACAGCGACGCAGGGTGTGCAGCGGCGGGGGTGGTGGATCACAGCGTGGTGGTGATGGGCTACAGCATCACGGCTGACAGCGCATTCTGGATCCTCCGCAACTCCTGGGGGGGCACGTGGGGCATGCAGGTGGGATGTGTGCTGTTAGCCTCACAGGGATGTACCGTCATGCTCCTAGTGCCACGTAACCTATTGCACTGTGTCACGTGCTCCTCCTCTTCCCGAGCCGTTTTTTCTTCTCCTGCTCTTTCCTCTTCCCTCTCTCCCCTCCCCTCTTCCCTTCCTCTGCGTGTGTTCTCACTCTCTTTCTGCATTCTCACTCTCTTCATGCAGGGTTACATGCAAATGGCCTTTGAGGGAGGCGTTGGCATCTGTGGCATTCACTCAGTGCCGGCCCTCTACCCCATCATTAAGAGTGAGTAGATCTTCTTGCTTCTATCCAGAGCGCACGTGCACATGTGCACTCGCACGCACACTCGCACGCACACTTGCACGCACACACACACGCGCACTCGCACACACACTCGCACACACACTCGCACACACACTCTCACGCACACTCGCACACACACTCGCACACACACTCGCACACACACTCTCACGCACACTCGCACACACTCTAGCGCACAGTCGCACACACACTCTCACGCACTCTCACGCACACTCGCACACACACTCTCACGCACACTCGCATACACACTCTCACGCACACTCGCACACACACTCTCACGCACACTCGCACACACACTCTCATGCACACTCGCACGCACACTCGCACACACACTCGCATGCACACTCGCACGCACACACACACGCGCACTCGCACGCACACACACACGCGCACTCGCACGCACACTCGCACACTCAGCACCCAGTGACATGTCAGCACCTTGAACCCCCTTTCCTTACCCCCTCCCCACACACCAGCGCCCTCGCCATGCCTGTCACCTCAGAACCCATGTGGGGGAGGCACATGTCAGGACCTTGGGAACGGCCAGTACACATGCATGTGCGAGGAGCCGTACTTCATAGCCGTTACTGACAAAGGCGGCGCGCAGACGTGTGTGTTTGGTGAGTGGCGCCCACACCTGTGTGTTTGGCGAGATGGGGTGCGGGCATGGGTGGTTGAGATGGGGTGGAGAGGAGGCATGGTTGAGATGGGATGGTATCCAGGAAGCACAAACGTGACACTCGTTTGAGTTGCAGGGTGCTTTTGAGAATCCTCAAAAACACTAAGAAAAAGGCTCACACTGATTTCCCCCTACTTTTCCCCCGTTTTTTCCCACGTTTTCCCCGCTTTTCACCCACTTCTCCCCACTTGCCATCATCTTCCCGCCCTTCCCTTCCTATTACAACACATGACCTTACATTGGATCTCTCCTCCCTCCCTCTCCCTCCCAATCCCTCCAACTTCCCTTGCGCCTCCTCCCCTCTCCCCCGACCTCTTCCCCTCTCCTTGCCCCCGCCCCTCGTCCCCTCCCCACCGCCCACTCGCCCCCTCCCACTTTCCCTTTTCCCACTCGCCCTCTCCCACGTCCCCTCTCCCCACTCGCCCCCTCCCACGTCCCCTCTCCCCACTCGCCCCTTCCCGCTCGCCCCCTGCCAGCTGACGTGTGCAGCCTGCAGGATGACAATCCCTGTGCGGTCGGCACGTGCATCAACGACAATGCGGGCGGCTTCTTTTGTCTCTGTCCGCCGGGATTTGACCAGGGGTACCGGCCCAATGGCGCTCACACATGCGTCCCAAGTAAGTGTTCATGCGGGCGGCTTCTCTTGTCCTTCAGATATTCATGTTTCTTTAGGAGCCACAGCAAATCACATCTATCCCATCCCATGTATGCACACTTTACTTCTGAACCATCACTGCAGCTTCCTTTCTCTTGTGTTCTTCTCGCCTCTCAATCACCACTCCTCCATTCCTCTCCTCTCTCCTCTCCTCACCTCCCCACTTCTTGCTTCTCACTCACCTAACCACACTTATCCGTCCCTCCGGAACCTGTTCACCTTTTGAGGCGCCTCAATACTCCTCCCTTCCCCACTTCTTGCTCCTCTCTCACCCTAACCACACTTCTTCGTCCCTCTTCAACTTGTTCCCCTCCCTCCCGTCCCCTCTCCACCTGACTCTTTCCAGCCTCCAACACAACCACCACCCTTTTTTTCAGCCTTTTTTTTTGTTCTGTCCTCCCTGCATTCCTGCAGCCTCCAACCCCTCATACACCGTCGTCTTCCCAATAGACATCGACTGCCCGCTAGTCTACCAGCTCTACGGCCTCACGGAGAAGGCGTTTCTTGCTCAGAACCCCAACCTGGTGAGCTCTCCCTCTCCGCTACCGCTTCTCCCTTCTTAAAAGTGGACCTGTCCACTTCTCTCTCAAAAGTGGACCTGTCCACTTCTCTCTCAAAAGTGACTCCTAATAGTATATCTCGCTCACAGCCGCAACCGCTTCACCCCGCGTCTACCATACAAACCCTTCGGCCATACAAACCTTTCTGCCTCTCAGAACCTGCAACTCGTGCTAGTCACACCCCAACGCACCCACCCCACTCCATCCCACCTCACCCCACACCACCCCACCCCACCCCACCCCACCCAACCTTTTATCACCTTTTGAATAACAGAATATGGATCACTGCATGACCATCCCTGCCAACACAGAAGTGAGCATGCTGCCGCCCCTCACGGGGTCGGTGCAGTGCGGGCTGTTCTACTCGTGGTCACTCCACCCCCACCCCACCCCGCCCCACCCCACTGCACCACACCCCACCGCACCCTACCCCACCGCACCCCACCCACAGAGCATGGACCACTGCGTGACCATCCCCAAAAGCACGTACGCGAGCGTGCTGCCGCCCCTCATGGGGTCGGTGCAATGCGGGCTGTTCTACTCGTGGCCTGGTCACTGGTGCAACTCACAGCCCATCCCATCCCACCCCACCTCACCCCACCCACAGAGCATGGATCACTGCGTGACCATCCCCAAAAACACGGAAGTGAGCGTGTTGCCACCCCTCATGGGGTCTGTGCAGTGCGGGCTGTTCTACTCGTGGACGGCGAATGACACATGCAAGGGCGTCGCGAGCTTGTTCTCGCTCACAGTGGCCGGCTTGCTTCGTCTCAACCCCGGGATCAACTGCACGAGTAAAACCGCCTGGAACGCTCCGACTGTGAACCAGCAGGTGAGATTCGGTACAGTGCGGTGCTTAATGGTATGGCGGCCCAGTTGGCGGTGAATCCGCTGTGGGGCTCGTCCCGGAGATCAACATATTGTTGTGTGCTGACACGCCCATGCCCATGCCCATGCGCACGGAAGGTGTATCTGAGTAGCTTCGGAAAAAAAAGAAGAACGAGGCGCCTCAAAGCTAGTCTGCTCAGTGTTTTTGAGAATTCTCAAAAACACTCTGCAAAAAAAAGAAGAACCAGGCGCCTCAAAACATGAGACGACTTGGCACTACGAAAGTGGGCTCGACTCGGAGACGAACAGCTTGTGAGCTGACAGACCTGCACATGCGCACGGGGGGTAACGGGGCAGACCTGCCCTTGGGCGCGCAGCTGTGCATGGCAATAGGCAACGGGGCAGACCTGTTGGGTGCGCAGCTGTGCATGGCAATAGGCAACGGGGCAGACCTGCCCTTGGGCGCGCAGCTGTGCATGGCAATAGGCAACGGGGCAGACCTGCCTGCACCGAGGTAGAGTTTTATGCGCCTCAAAAACCACTTCCCTTCTTCCTCTCTTCCTGCCCTTGTGTGTGCGCAGCTGTGCGTGGCATTAGGCAACGGGGCAGACCTACCCATGTGCACGGCATGGTACACAGTGATAGCGGGGGACATATGTCCGAGCATCATGGCAGATCACTGTCCCCTCTTCCCACCTCTACACACTCTCCTTGCCCTCCACGCAGCTGTGCGTGGCATTAGGCAACGGGGCGGACCTACCCATGTGCACGGCATGGTACACAGTAAAGGCAGGGGACACGTGTGCGGACATCATGGCGGATCATTCTCTCAACGACACCACATTCTTTGCACTCAACCCGGGGCTGGGCTGTGACAGCCTCTTCCCCTCCGTTGGGGGAAGCCTCTTCCCTTCCTTCAGTGGCAGCGGCCGCGGCTGGAGTGGGGATGGCGTGCAGGTGAGCAGTGGAGTGCGGTGAAGGTGGGTGAGGGTATGGGGGGTGAGTTTCTTTACTTTCTTCGCACTCAACCCGGGGGTGGGCTGCGACAGCCTCTTCCCCTCTATCGGGGGCGTAAGGGGCAGCCTCTTCCCGCCCTTCAATGGCAGCGGCCAAGGCTGGAGTGTGAATGGCGTGCAGGTGAACGGTGGGGAGCGGTGACTGCAGTATACGCCCATCCATCCCATCCTTCTACCACCATTTACCCAACCATTTCCCCCTCACTAGTATACGCCCTTCCAACTTTCCAGGTTGTGTTTTCATGCACTATTGGACTACCCTCCACGCCCATCCATCCCATACTTCTACGTGCGATAACATATTTTTAGGCGACTCAAAAGTCGTTGTCATGCATGATTTGAGTATTCTCGTGTGACGAGTCGCTTTTTTAGTTGACTCATCATACATGCATGATTAGAGTATTCTCCATGCCCTTCCAACCCAAACTTCTACCACCATTCCACGCCCATCCATCCCCATCACAAGTGTGAGTGTCTCATAATACATTGCCAATGCACCCAGCCCATTGCCTCGCTCTCACGTCGTTTCCTGCACACGCCTATCTTCCCCCTTTTATGCTCTTATCTTCCCCTTTTTATGCTCCCATCTTCCCCCTTTTATGCTCCCATCTTCCCCCTTTTATGCTCCCATCTTCCCCCTGTTATGCTCCCATCTTCCCCCCTTTTATGCTCCCATCTTCCCCCTTCTATGCTCCCATCTTCCCCCTTTTTATGCTCCCATCTTCCCCCTTTTATGCTCCCATCTTCCCCCTTTTATGCTCCCATCTTCCCCCTTTTATGCTCCCATCTTCCCCCTGTTATGCTCCCATCTTCCCCCTTTTCATGCTCCCATCTTCCCCCTTTTATGCTCCCATCTTCCCCCTTTTATGCTCCCATCTTCCCCCTTTTATGCTCCCATCTTCCCCCTTTTATGCTCCCATCTTCCCCCTTTTATGCTCCCATCTTCCCCCTTTTTATGCTCCCATCTTCCCCCTTTTATGCTCCCATCTTCCCCCTGTTATGCTCCCATCTTCCCCCTGTTATGCTCCCATCTTCCCCCTTTTATGCTCCCATCTTCCCCCTTTTATGCTCCCATCTTCCCCCTTTTATGCTCCCATCTTCCCCCTGTTATGCTCCCATCTTCCCCCTTTTTATGCTCCCATCTTCCCCCTTTTATGCTCCCATCTTCCCCCTTTTATGCTCCCATCTTCCCCCTTTTATGCTCCCATCTTCCCCCTGTTATGCTCCCATCTTCCCCCTTTTTATGCTCCCATCTTCCCCCTTTTATGCTCCCATCTTCTCCCTTCTATGCTCCCATCTTCCCCCTTCTATCCTCCCGTCTTCCTTCTGTGCTCCACGCCCATCCATCCCCATCGCAGGTGTGTGTGGCTGCACACATCGTCAATGCACCCAGCCCATTACCCTCGCTTTCACATCGTTCATGCCACTGCCTATCTTTCCCCCTCTGTGTTCAACCCCCATCCATCCCCATCGCAGGTGTGTGTGGATGCATACATCGTCAATGCATCCGGCCCATTCACCCCTCGTTCACTCCGCGAGCTCTCCTCCACTTCCTCATCCCCTTCTTCCTCCTCCTCCTCTCCCTTGTTGTTCTCAACACGGGGAAGACGGCTAGGTCCCTACTCCTCCTCTTTCCACACATCACAACCCTCCCTGCCTCGCCTCCCGCCCCTCATCCCTTCTCTCTCCGCCCAACCAATGAGAGGGCGCCAGCTGGCGGTGTCCAAGGCGCCATGCTTGAAGTACTACTATGTGACGAAGGGGGACATGTGTGCGCGCATCATAACGCTCAAGTTCCAGAACGGTGCGCAGAAGTTGTCAGAGCTGAACAACGGATATGTGTGCGTTAATAGCAAGCTCTATGTGGGGCTCTCGCTTTGCACCCAGAGGTAGGAGTGCCTTTGATGCGCCTCAGAAGGTGCTCTGCATTGGAAATTGGTGGAGCTGAATAACGGATACACATGCAGCAACGACAGGCGCTGTGCGGGGCTCTCGCTTTGCACCCAGAGGTAGGAGTGCGTGATTTCAAGACGCCTCAAAAGGGTGATGTGCATGGTGGTGGTAACTGCGTGCCAGTCTCGATTGCTCCTTGCTGGCCCTTGTGAGGGCTGCTGGAGGGGTAGACTCGATGTTGGAGTGCAAGCAAGCAGAAGATAGGGTGTTGTTTGCATCCCTGATGTGTATTTCCATCTGCAGTTGGTGGGGAATAAATGAGGGAATGACTCGCATCGAGCTTCGGGTGGCGTTTTCATTGGCTGTTGCAGTCAGTGGGCTGTCAGGGAGGGCTGCCTTTGGGCTTTGTTTTATGTACTCTACCTTTCTAACTTGTAATGTATTGGGTTGATTGGATAAAAACTTCGCTGTGAATTGTGGAGCTTGGGTGACCAGTAGTGTGTTTCTCATTGCCGCAATGCAGCATGGGTGTGGATTGACTTGGGCATGTTGGCAGTACTAGAAACAATCACGTCAACATGCTGTCACACTAAATTCATAATCACACCGCACTAGACCATGCCTTCCGTCACATGATGACTTCACCCCAACATAATATTTGTAACGTTCATCTTTATGTTGGGCTAGCACGTTGGCACACGGCTGTAGGGCAGCATGCTTTAAAGGCGCCCCAAAAGGTGTTGTGCATTGTTGTGGGGCCTGGAGGGGTAGACTGAGAGTTTACAGAGTGTCTAACCATGGTGTCAAAGTGTCTGCTTGGACGCAAGTGGAAGATATGCATCGACCAAATGAGAGTAGCCTAGGGTCTTGGCTGGTGTTTTGAATGGTTCTTGCAGCCAGTGGAGTATCAAACCTTACTGTGTTCCCACGCCACACCTTATCCAAGCCGAGTGTGCTTAGGAATGGTGTACTCTATTGAGAGAGTTGGTATAAGTACAAAACCTATGTTGGCTACCCCACTATAGCCTACCCAATATACCATAGCATATATATAGTTTGACACACCCCCATAGGCAAAGTGGGGGAGAACAAGGGGTCACAAGACCAGTCAACAAAAACAATGCAAGCTCATGGTGGATCACAACGTCACCACACACTACGAGCACAAGCAAAAGGGCCACAATGCCAGTTCACATGTAGAGGTTATGCAACTATAGTACAGTGATCACTATCTAGCAAGAGTAAACATGCAGGTAGATATATATAGATCACAGTATAACCAAAGTCTACAGCAAATGAGGAAACATAGGCAACAGGCCTAGAGCAGTGCATAAGCGCTGATGATCACCAGCCGGAAGGGCCTTGGTGAACACATTAGCCGTGTTCGTTGGGGTGGGCACGTGGGTGATACGAAGCTGACCACGCTGCTGCAACTCTCGAGCAAGGAAGTAATGTAGAGCGATGTGCTTCGTTCTGTGCTCCAGTCTATATGGTCATCACACAAGGCAATGGCAGCCTTGTTGTCGACGTACAGAACTTGAGGAGAACGAGGCCTCTCTCCCAAGTCGGTCAGCAGGTAGGTGAGCCAGCGTAACTGCTGTGCAGCCATGGCTCCCGCATAGATCTCAGCCTCCCAACTGGAGCTGAGAACAGTTGATGAGTAGGTAGACCACCAGGAAACATAGCCAGAGCCAAGGCAGAACGTGTAACCCTGTGACGACTGCTGTGTAGCCAGGTCGTCAACCCAAGAAGCGTCTGAGTGCCCAGTGCCCAGTGCTCTGCCCTCCAAGCACGAGCCCCATGCCCGATGTACTGCACAAGTAGCATAGTACCCTTTTTGCAGCATTGAAGTGCACCTTTCGGTGCCTACCAGGAGCCACGTAGCGTGCCAGAAGGCGAGGGTACGCAAGGTCAAGACGAGTGCAGGTCATCAGGTACATGAGGCAGCCCACTAGCACTGGGTACGGGCCACTCGGCTCAAGTGGCAAGAACCAAGTGAAGCTGAGAGCGAGTGACCTGTGGCAAGAACCAAGTGAAGCTGAGAGCGAGTGACCTGTGGCAAGAACCAAGTGAAGCCGAAGCGCTGAAGGACCTACTGCACCATGTGTGATTGAGTCAGTGTGATAGTGCGCCGTGCTCTGTCCTGGGTGATCAGCAGACCAAGGTAGCTGCGCAGCTCACCCACGTCTGTGCACCTGTGTCTCTTCTGCAGCTCCGACTTCACAAGGGCAAGAGACTCACTGTCAGCAGTGGCATAGACCAAGTTGTCAACGTACACGAGGATGTAGAATGGCGGCAACGAAGTGTCGGTATGCAGAAACAGCGATGGGTCAGTGGAAGGTGCAAGCCCAAGAGCCGCAAGTGTCGTGCCACTTACGAGGCGCCTGACGTAGACCGTAGACTGGCCGACGGAGGCTCCACTGGGTACCAGGAGGGAACGACCCAGTGAAGCCAGGTGGGCGGAGATCTCCTTGTGCAGACTGCCCTGTAAGAACGCTGTGCTGAAGTCCAGAGAGTGAAGCTCGTAGTCATGCTGAGCGGCAACGTGCGGCAGCACCCGAAGAGTGGTCATTTTCGGGGTGGGGGAGAAGGTCTGAAAGAAGTCAACTTCCTGTCGCTAACTGAAGCCTCGTGCAACGTAACAAGTCTTGAAGACAGGGGGAGAACCCGGCGGCCACTTCACCCTGAAAATCCACATGCCATCGACTATGTTCGCCCTAGGAGGGGGAACTGCATCGACGTAAGTGCCTGTGGACTTCTAGGATGCCATCTCTGCGTCCATGGCTGTCTGCCACTGAGAGGAGTACTCACCCGTGATCGCCTCAGCGTAAGAGCGCGGGGTCGGGATGTCTAGAGCATCCGGGTCTCCCTCAAGGGCAAGCAGCATGGCCACGAGATGAGGCACAGTGGCTGCAAGACACTCAAAGTCCTACTGCCTATCCTTAAGGACGTCCGTGCCAAGAGCACACTCACCCCCGACAGACAGAGGACAGACAAACTCAGACTCAGCAACAAGACTAGCATCGAAGTCTGGACGACAGGCAGTAG